AATATGGCAGTAAATAAGAGGTAGAAGAGGAGGCAGAACAGGATAGTTTCTAGGAGAACTTGATTTGCATCAGAAACACAAGAAATTTGAGCAACAAATAACAAGAGGTCTCAAAAAATCCTCACATCACTAAGCAGGAAGAAAGAGGAATTGGTTATTTCTCGGTAGGTAAGAGATTTCTGCCATATGACTGAGCCAGACAAGGTAAAATCTGCCTAGCTATCTCCACTTGTATAGTGTACATAGTATCAGACATCAGCATTATCAGACATTACTTATCAGACCAAGTATTACCTGACATGAGACAGAAGTGGTTTACCACACGAGGAACAGACTCCACTATTAAACCACAGTTTGCACAGGCTGAAGCCACAGAACTTCTCACGAGTGCCGAGTCCAGGGACACGATCACCTCCCTACTCCTGCTGGTCACACCGTTTCTGATCCAGGCCAGGATGCCATTGGCATACTTGGCCACCTGGGCACACTGCTGGCTCACATTCAGTCAGCTGTCCGCCAGCACCCCCAGGTCCTTTTCCACCAGGCAGCTTTCCAGCCACTCCTCCCCAAGCCTGGAGCACTGCCTGGGGTTGTTGTGACCCAAGTGCAGGACCTGGCACTTGGCCTTATTAAACCTCATCCAATTGACCTCAGTCCATTGCTCCAGCCTGTCCAGATCCCTCTGCAGAGCCCTCCTTCCCTCAAGCACATCAACACTCCCACCTAATTTTGTGTCATCTGCAAATTTACTGAGGGTGCACTTGATCCCCTCATCCAGATCACTGATAAAGATATTACACAAGACCAGTCCCAAAACCAAACCCTGAGGGACACCAGTCACCAACAGGATTTAACTCCATTTACAACTCTGGGCCTGGCCATCCAGTTAGTTTTTAACCCTGTGCGCAGTCCACCTGTCTTTTATTTATGTACTTATTTATTTACTTTTATTTAGTACTGAAGGAAGATTTTCACTAGATGGAAAGACACTGCAAGAATCCCTTCCAACTAGGAAAATTAGCATTTGGCTTGCATTCACCTGGTACTCACTTCATTCCAGAGCTATTAAGAAGCCTGTGAATAAACAGAGCTTCTTCTTTCTCCCCTCTTATTGACAGCACATGAAGATCACTTTTAAAAAGCACCCAAAGCAAACAAATCCGAGGTTATATTCTAAGAATTTTAGTTACAGAAACAAAGAAAAGGGTAAAAAAAAAAAATCTCTCTTCTTCTAAGACAACTGTAAACTCATCAGGCCATTAAGTAAAGCAGCTAAAGACCATGTTATTAAAAGTAGATATAGACTCAGCTTTATTTTAGTTGAACAGCTGAAAAAGGTATGGTTGGTTGCACAAGCCAAGTCACAGAATTCATTTGTTCCCTAGAACAAGGTTGTCAAGCCTGTACTCAAATCCAGCAAATCAGGACACAAACAACATTGCAACTGCCTTGAAAAGGAAGTCAACTAACTTTGCAGAGGCAGAAAACATGCAATAGGATCAGAAACGCTGAAAAAACAACACATATGCTTTTGGTGACTATGTGTCCATGGCAGGCATCTTTAGGGTCTGTTTCAATGTCGCATAGATGCTAATTTTTAAATTAATCACTAAAGTGATTTTTAAAATGTTTAAGTTATCATTTTAATTATATTAAATGCCTACTCAAAGAAATAAAAGTATTTCAGCACTTGCACAATTAAATAAGACAATTTAGCCACCTCCTTGTCAGATACAATCTCATTCTCTTCTGGTATTGGTTTTATGTTTTGTTTAGTGTCATTCTTTAAGTCCCTCAACATGTGAAGAGTTTGAAGAGTGGTGCAATAGGTAAAGAATTTACAATCTAGGAATAGGCTTCTTCCAGTTTATAAAAAAATAACCACTTCCACTAAGGGTTTTTTTTGGATGTTTTATCTAAATTGTCACAGTGATTTAATTCATGGAGGAAGGATTCGATCATTGTTTTCTCATTTTCAAAAAAGCTTGACTGGCAGTTAGTTGTCTTCATGAATGGCTGTGTGCCATCACAGAATTAACACGCTCTTGCATGCGACCACAGTGAGCATTAGTTAGGCTGTATCTATTTAATTAACTTTTTCTTAGTTCTTAAATGATTCATTAATCTATTTTTCATAGCTTAATATGAAAGAAACATAAGCTCTGTAATTACTTCTGTTTTTGGTAAGAAAGAACAGCCATCACCTCTCAGAAAAGCAAAAAATTGGATGCAATAGTCAATATTACTTGTGCTTCAGTTTTAAAGCAGGTTCTGAAATTGGTACATAGAAAACTAAGTGCATCCATCATCTTGAAAGGTGAGTTAGACACTTCAGAAAAAAAAAAAAAAAAAAAAATCCACATCCCCAGAATAACTGTTTCCTACTCCCACCAACAGTCTAAAGCAGAGGAAAAAAACCCTTAGTAGCCGATGCACTATTTGTACTCAGTGGCCACAGTCATTTTTGTTACCCACAATTTTAATTTTTTCATTCCAGGAAGAAAACATGTCCATGATAAGTTACTGAAAATTAATTGTTCAAATCAGTGTAATATTTATTTCAAGAAAAATAGGGATGAAGTATATAGATAGGTACAAGTAATAAAGATCAGTTTTCATTTATTACTACTACAAAGGTATAGCATATTGATAGGTGTATGACATTTACAATAGAAACTGCTTAATACAAAACTCAAACCAGTAAAGCCTATGTATTTTACAACTGTTTGCAGGAAAACATTTGCTAAAACTTACGTGACACACAATCAGTTGTATAACACAATGCTGTAATCAAATGATACATTAACTTTTCCTATATTATTAAGTCCAGTAAGTTTATTTCAGCATGTAATAGTGACTCTCCCGTATTCTCTCCTTCAACAGTTCTCCTTTGAAAGCAAGACCTAATAAAAAAAACTTCAAGAAAACACTTTTATGACTGAACAAAGAAACCTACAATTTACCAGCTGTGGCCCAATTAGTTATCAGTGACATTTTCCAAAGTCAAAATTGTTGTTTAAAAAGAATTCCTTGATAACATTCCGTTTAAAAATACGCAAATAGGAGTTCAAACCTAAATAAATCCTGCTAGACAACTAAAAATTCTCAAATAATTGTGTCCTAAGCAACTGACACCTACAACATATACTAAAAACATTCTAATTTTATAGTTTGAGTTTCTCTTAGTATCAAAAATACCCCCATGTCCCCACACCCCAGAAACATCTGAGCCCTACTGATTAAGAATTACACTTAATCACCACTCCAAAACAGGTGCACAGGAGCACTCAGATTAAAGCTTCTCACAGCCTATTACAGTTTGCCAGTAACAAGTATTTCCACAAAGGAATTAAGAACTTGCTTGAATAAAGGCTGCTGTCAGAACTGAACACACCAAAACAATGTGTCTGTTTTAAAGGTTCTCTTACATATCCTCACAATAATGCACAATACTCAACACTACTTGTGAAGATTCCTGGTACTTCAAACTGCTCCTCCTCCCCAGATCAAACCAGAACATACAACTTGCTACCCATACCCTTCTCGTTCTCAGATACACATCTAAACACAAGATACAGCAATATCTGAAGAAATACAGTCTGTAATGAGAGTTAAATACAGATTTATCATTCAACCTCTCAAAATTCCACGTTCATTTCATAATTCCATGTGCAGTGCATGTTATACTGCTTGTGTGGGAATATCTCACGTTCAAAGTTAATCTCAAGCCTTTTTGTTTCTTCGAGAGACCGTATTCAACGTTTCTTCAAGTCTTTCCATGGCTTCTGGGCATGCCTATGTTTTTAGTATCTTGGAAACCTATCCTGTCCCTTTTGGTACAGCTGTGACAAAAGAACAACGCTTGTGTTACGTTTTCAATTACGCTCTTTACATACGCACGTTTCCAGATTTGCTGTTTGCACATGGCACATACACAACAGCCGCCCCAAAAGCATCAGAACTGAACACCCAAAGAGGAAAAAAAACAAAGATACAAGATGCAACATTAATGAACTTAACACCAATTCGCACTGCACTTGGACCCCTTTTCTCTTGGATACTTGGTTCCTTAAAAATGGGAAGAGACGAAGAAAGAACCCAAAGCAATGTGCAGCACTGGAGCCACTCACACATTCGAGTGTGAACTTCAGAATCGCATGATGAAATTTCTTGCTAGTAAAATAGTACTTTCATATTTTGTCACAGTACTCCTGTAAACTCAGAGCAGAATGTACCAAGCAAAAAAATGCAAAGAAAAACCACCAACCCCAAACCAACCCACAATCCCCAAACTGCATATCCTCCCCCAAAATATTTCATATTTCAGAGCTATCCTATCATATCATAAATATTGTGACTAACATTTAAGCTTCCCAGCCAGCACTAGTAAGAGCTAAGCTGGCTCTGTAATACACAAAAGACATCAGCATCAGATTTCTTGATTTGGAATTATTTTTAACCATAGCAATTGCTACCAACTTAACAGCCTTAAGAACAAATAAAAAATAAGCCAATTAAAGAAAATGGAAGTTTAAAAATTAACACATGGAAGAATGAAAGTAACATTAAGTTTGGAAATCCTATGCTGACAGCGAAGGAGATTAGACAACACAGGTACACAACCAAGGTGTAATCAGTTAGGGCACTCTCACAGCAACACCCAACCTGCACGCTCTGCATGTTTTTCCATGTTTCAATTGCATACAAATGAGCTTCTATATCTAAAAAAGAACATCACTTAAGGACAAGTAAACCTGTGTGTTGGGCTTGCTGTTAATACACTCATGATACACCCACTAGAAATAAATAGAAATTAATACAAAGTTTAATTTCAATTATATTTTCATTAATAACAAATTGATGTTGCTATTACAGCAACACCAAAAAAAGCCAGTCATAAGAGATCCATTCTGGCTAGTCTGCCCTCACTGGCATTACTTTCATTTTTCAAAGCTTCTGTTTTCTAAGACTTCTCATGAGAAGTAAACCACATTATGAACAACAGGATCTATTTAAGGAGTATTAATGTTTAATTTCAATTTATAGGTAAAGAAATAATTACCTGCTTGTATTCACCAACGCAGTTCTGACAGCAGAACCTTTTCTGCTGACCATCAATAGTGAGAACATTGTTTCCAGCTCCTTTACTGGGCAAATACTCCCCACAATGCTCACAGCAATTCATTATTAAACCATTTGCCATCCTGTATCTATTGAAGCAATGGTCACTGCACAGCTTATGAGTCATATTTTTAAAGCTAACTTCATGACGAATCTAAAAAATAAAAGTAGAAAAGTGTTCTATCAGCACGCAAGCACAAAGTTGCCTGGAACTACTACACAAGGCAACGGTCTAATATTCAAGTACAGTAACTGAAATCAGATCATACTGGCTCACTATTTAGGAAGAAAGATGCTTGAGAAAAACATGAAATACAGAAATAGAAGTTGGTGTTGCTGTTGTCTCCAAACTTCTAGGAAAAAATAAATCTTGGACCTGTCTGCTCTTGTAGCCCAGAAGCAAAGATGACAGGGAAGGATGTAATAATCGCATATCAGCGCAGAAGGTCCGTTTATGTAATTTTATAAAATCTTGACTTCTTTTAACAGCAATTCTATGCAGGAGATCTTGATTATAGTTACAAGATTTAACACCTAACAGAAATGTTGACAGTAGCAACAAGACATAAGCAAAAGGAACTTCAAGTTCCTAAAAAAAAAATCAAAATATTAACACTGAATTCTTTCTTCCTTCAATTGCTCTTCATGAATATCAAGCCTGCATACCTGAATATCTCACTGCATATGAAAATACTAAATCATATTTTAGATCTCCTTATTTTCAGTTTTTTATTTCAGAACATGTTATTAATACTGTTATTATTGATAAAGGTAAGAGAAAAAACAGTCAAACAGACCTCAGTTAGTTTACCACAGATAGTGCATCTTGATTTATTCAAAACTCCTTTTGAGGGATTCTGTTTATCTTCATAGAAGGATAAACACGATGTACTGCAAAACTCCTGGAAAGACTCACTTGAATCAACTTGAGCAACAATGGTACCTTTCATTGTTGTTATATCTCTGAAAGACAAAAAAAGCCTCTAGTGTGCTTGTGTATAAATACATATATATATTTAAATAAGAACATGCAATAAGATTTATTCTTCCTTTTAACTTTTACATTTCAAACCTGTTTTGTGAGTATGTAATAATTGCTAGTCATGTGCCAACACTAAGTTTAACAATATTTTTTACAACTACTATAAGTACTGCAAGTACTATAGAAAACCTTTTTGTAAGAATTTTGGGGTTTTTTTCCCCTCATTATATTGCTCTAGAACTAAGTGATATTAATAAACCATTAGCTACCAGTTGTGACAAACACAATCTTATATGAAGAATTAACACAGCAAACTAAAATTATCCTTTTTGCAACTTCACACAAAAGCTATACTTAAGTTTCATATGAAAAATTCATATTTATAGTAAAAGGCAAGAAATGGTCCTTATTTTATATAACTCCACCATTTGCAGTATTAGTCCCAGGACAGGATTAAAGGAAGAGAGAAGTGTGTTTTCTCATAAATACAACCAAAAATCTTAAAACTCTACTACAAACCTGCCTGGAAGATTTATCACTCAAAATTTTTAGAAAGTTAGTTTCATCATTAAAGTTCTAAAGCACCTGAACAGTCCATGCAGTTGCCTATGAAAACACACCACTCTAATGCATTAAATCAGACAAGCAATCAACAACATTAGTTCTAGACTTCCTTGATCTTCAGTTGTGTGCTGTGCATGCTGCAAACTTAAAGTCACTAATGCCATGCTTGTTAGTGCACTTCTGTCATCACGTCTCCCAGATTTTTAAGGTTGTTTCTAAGGTGGTTTCACTCAGAATGGTCTGGGTTGGAAGGGATCTTTAAAGGACATTTAGTTCTAGCCCACCTACTGTGAGCAGGGACATCTTCAATTACAACAGGCTGCTCAGAGGCACATCCAACCTGACCTTGAATGTTTCCAGGGATGGGGCACTGACCACCTCTCTGGGTAGACTGTTCCAATGTTTCATGACCCTCATCGTAAAAAATTCATTCCTTATATCTAGTCTAAACCTATCCTCTTTTAGTTTAAAACCATTATCCCTTGTCCTATCACAGCAGACCCTCCTATAAAGACTGCCCCCATCTTTCTTACAGGCCCTCTTTAAGTATTGAAAGGCTGCAATAAGGTATCCCCAAAGCCTTCTCTTCTCCAGGCCGGACAATCCCAACTCCCTCAGCCTTTCTTCAAATGAGAGGTGGTCCAGCCCTTTGATCATTTTTGTGGCCCTCCCCTGGATCCACTCCAACAGGTTCATGTACTACTTGTGCTGAGGAACCCAGACCTTACACAGTAGTCCAGGTGAGGTCTCACCAGAACGGAATAAGAGTGGTAGAATTTCATCCCTTGACCTGCTGGTCACAGCTCTTTTGATGCAGCCCAGGATACAAGTGACCTTCGGGGCTGTGAGCACACACTGCCAGCTCCTGTCCAGCTATTCATCCGCCAGATCTCCCACGTCCTCTGCAGGGCTGCTCTCAATCCCTTCATCCCCCAGCTTGATACTGAGGATTGATACTGAGGATTATCCCAACCCAGATGCTGGACCTTGCATTTGGCCTTGTTAAACCTCCTGAAGTTCACACAGACCCACTTCTCAAGCTTGTCCAGGTCCTTCTGGATGCCATCCTATCCCTCCAGTGTGTCAGCTGCACCACTCAAGCTTGGTGTCATCTGTAAACTTCCTGAGGGTGCACCTGAACCCACTAAGTCATTGATGAAGATACTAAACACCACTTGGTCCCAATACAGACCCCTGAGGGACATTATTTGTCACCAGTCTCCAGCTGAACACCGAGCTGTTGATAACTACCCTCTGGATGCGACCATCCAACCAATTAGTCCACCCATCAAATCCGTATCTCTCCAGTTTAGAGAAGGATGTTGTGGAGGACTGTCTCAAAGTCCTTACAGAAGTCCAGACAGACAACTTCCCTTGTCCACCGATGCAGTCACTCCATCACAGAAGGCCACTATTTTGGTCAGGAAAGACCTGTCCCTGGTGAAGCCATGCTGGCTGTCTTAAATCACCTCCCTGTCCTCCATGTGTGTTAGTATAGCCTCTAGGAAACCTGTTCCATGACCTTCTCAGGCACAGAGGTGAGGCTGCCCAGTCAGTACTTCCCAGGGTTCTCCCTTCTACCCTTTTTAAAACGGGTTCAATGACTCTGATTTTCCAGTCACCAGGGACTTCACCTGACAAATTTTCATCTCGAACTATTACACACCATAAATTAGAAACAGTAAGGAGAAGAAATAAACCCCTCCCCCTTTGCCTCCTAAGTAAAAGAAAATTGACAGAGGAAATGCTATTGAACAAAATAAATTAAAAAAATTACTAAAATAAATAAAATAGTAGAGTGAAAAACATTAGAAAAATGCTGTATGCCTCCCTAGACAGATACCCCTGAAAATAAACCTCTACAGCCCCTGGATATTAACACTTGCATGTCTGCCACTTTCTATCAAAGGAAAATCAGCAGATTTTGGCACACCCTTTGGCAAGTTAGTAAAGATTTGTTGGAGAGTATTATAATTTTTGTACTACAACACAAAGGCAGAGCTCCTGCCCTCAGGAGCTTACAGTTTCTGGCTGGATTCTATCAGGATTTATAGACACAATTAATTTACATCAAAGCACATATTAACTTGTATCAAAGGAGACAAGTGTAAAGTCAAAACAAATAACACAAGTCAATAAAAATTATAAGCATTGAAGAGAATGCCAGATATTTCCTATCCTTTACTTCTTACAATAATTCTTACACTATTTACGTAGTTACAGAGGTTCATGCTAGAAAAGCAGCTTATGATAAAAAAGTTTAGAATTCTAACTTTTCAGATGTGATTATACAGCTTTTTTTAAAAAAAGTTATTGGAGGCTTCACTTTTTCCATTTAAAGTAACCTACATATTTAAAGACAAATCTGGGCATTGTCCCTGAAAGTCTAAGCTACGACATATCAATTATCATCTATCCAACCTAAAGATCTCTTAGATTTTGGTAGTTTCCTTCCCCCTTCACTGAGTAGCAATTTAACAACATTTTGTCTGCTTCAATAAGAAAAGAACACAGAAACAAGTATGGAGCAAAGAGTGCTTGGTTTTGCCCCCAAAATTAAGCAATAAAATTAAAAAAATAATAATAATAAAAAAAAAAACCAAAAAACAAACAGTCTGGGTATGATTTGGCTTCACAACAAAGTCAAGCTGTAGATGAACAATTTCATACATATACTGCCTTCTATTTGACTGTGACTGAGCAAGCAACTCCATACTAGTGGAAAAACAAAGACCAACATCACCTCAAAAACTGTCAAAGGTGACTTCCAAGAGGTTCTCTAGAAATTAAATACACTAAACAAACTAAGTAACCCCAAAAGCTATAAAAATGGTATTTTTCTCATTCAAGAATAAATAATAAATCATTTTCGTTTAGGGCAACTCTGTACATAGCCGCTTGCAATACACAGATAAGCATCTCTGAAGTTCCAAGAACACAGATTTAGCCATGAGTTTTCAAGTTTTCCGTCAACAAGTGGAAGATTAGTCTAATCTTCATATTTATATATAACATAGCTAGTTGAATACAGTAGTCACCAGATTACTTCTGCGGAAAAAGAAAAGTGTATAAACCTGTGCAAGCCAAGAGAGACTACAGAGTGCTTTTAATCAGGCCTGTAGAGGCAAGGGCTGATAGAATTTGAGCTTTTATGTGTATTTTTAAACAGCTAAAGTACATTAAATCTGCCAGGTTTTCAGTGTACGCAGGTGTAAGTACACATGGTATCAATAATTTCTATATTTTATTGTTACTGAGTCCCAAAAAACTAATAGACAAAGATGGTTAGATCAGTAGCTTACAGCTGAATACAAGCCACAAATCCACCACACCGCAGGCTGAAGTAAAACTTTTTCACTAGTTTAAACGTACGATTGAGCAAAAACCACCCTCTCCAAAACATACATTAATGAAGGCAGTCTTTAGTACAAGCCTTCTTTAGTTCAGC